GGAGAGAGAACACAACCCTGAGGAGCTCCAGTGCTGATTATACGGGTGCTGGATGTGAGTTTTCCCAGCCTCACTAGCTGCTGCCTGTCTGTCAGGAAGCTGTTGATCCACTGACAGACGGAGGTGGGCACGAAGAGCTGAGTTAGTTTGGGCAGGATGAGGTTTGGGATGATAAATATGATAGATGTGCAATATATGGATGTTTCTACCATACAGAATCTCCATTTAGGGGAATAGGGTGCATTGGTGCAACTTGGTGGTGTGGTGTGTTTATGGATGAATGGAGGTGTGTACAGTAGACAAGAACAGTGTATTTAGGAACTCGAGTTAAAAAAAAAAAAGCTTAATATCCTAAAAGTTTTCATAATATGCTGCTTTGGGAAATCATGATGAAGGGTGCTCTTTATGTACTTGTCGAGTTTGTGGATGTTTATTGTGTATCACACTGTGTCCTTGAAAGTTATTTTCAGTTTCTTTCATTTTTAAGAACGCTTTTTAAGGAGTGTTTTTGTGCATGTATCGCCAAGTATGCTTCTGTTCACCCACACTGTGTCATTCTCAGGATTCTGGAGTGAGATTGAGATGAATGATTTATAGAGAACAGCGAAGGTGTTTCTTACTGTGCATTAGTCTGATTGGTTAAACTGAAGACGTCTTGTGGGGAGTCTGGTCCTGAGCTTAGGATATATCTTCGTGAATGAGAGGAGCTTGAGCATTCATCTGTGACCGGTGCGCTTATAAAAGCAGGTCAGGGCAGCCATGCATGCAGTAACTATAGCTTAAAGCACATCTCTGGTATATGTGACCCTGGACCACAAAACCAGTCATAAGGGTCAATTTCAAAATTCAAAGCTGAATAAATAAGCTTTCCATTGATGTATGGTTTGTTATGATGGGACAATATTTGGCCGAGATACAACTATTCAAAATCTGGAATCTGAGGGTGCAAAAAAAGCTAAATATTGAGAAAATCGCCTTTAAAGTAGTCGAAAATGAAGTTCTTGGCAATGCATATTACTAATCAAAAATTAAGTTTTGATATATTTACAGTAGGAAATTTACAAAATATCTTTATGGAACATGATCTTTACTTAATGTCCTAATGATTTTTGGCATAAAAGAAAAATCAATAATTTTGACCCATACAATGTGTTTTTGGCTATTGCTACAAATATACCCCAGCGACTTAAGACTGGTTTTGTGGTCCAGGGTCACATATTAGTTTTCATCTGTATCATTGCATAGAAGAGACTGAGAGCGTTTGGTTCTGACTCTTGGGATCCTTTTAATCAGCCGTATCCTGTGGCGTTATGGGACAGGCTGAGGTGTAGAAGGCTCAGGTTGATCTCCTTCCCCAGAATTCTAGTAAACACACTAACCTACATGTAGAGCCTCATCAATGATGTATGAACCTGTTCTGTTGTTTTCTGTTCCATTTAGGGCTGTCAGTCTGACTAATATATTATGATTAACGAATTGATAATCGGTTTTTACAGAAATAAAACCTACATGCACAAATGCTGGTTTCAGTAATGAAATGTGGTAAATGTATGCGCACCATAAATGAATACATTCAAGACCGCAGGCAGAGGTAGATTTCTGCAACAGTGCTCTTGTCTATCTTGCACAAAAATCATTGAATCCATATATGAATGAATGAAATGGACTTGCATGTGCTGTGATTTAAGTAAATGTAATTATTTGTTAATGTAAAATACATTTAGAAAAAAATAGTAATGCTGTAAATTATTACAAACAGTAACACCCTAACTGGCAGCCCTAATTCTGTTCTAAAACTAATTGTTCAATCAGGTTATCGGCCTATTGGTATGAAAGCTTGTTGACTTTATTAATCCCAAAGGGGCAATTTGTTTAACTAGTTAAATAGGTTGCGGGCATACATAGTTGACCCGATGAACAAATACTGGGGAACAGGTGAGGGCATAAAGGAATATGGTGAACTGTATGAGAATAATAATATTAGAAATGCACAGAAGACTATATACAATTAAATATATGGAAATTTAAATTAAAAAAAAAAGTTTTATGATAAATATAAAAACAAAAAAAGTGACTGAAATAACTACCAGGACCACAAATATACTGTAAAATATGTACTATAAACTGTACAATGCTCTATATGTAACAATTCAATGCTTAAAGGCACATTTTTGACCTGCTTCACACAGGCAGCCCAGCAGAGTCGTGTGGTCTGCTGATGGGTGATGAGATCGTGGCGCTGGGTGGATGCAGGGTGGCTGAAATGAATTATGAGCAGTTTAAGGGCAGTATAGACACAGCACAGCAAAAGGGCACTTTACTGATGGACATCCTAAGACACGGCCAGAATGGTGAGGGTGTGGAACCTGGTTGTGAGAATGTAACGCTGTTAAAGGAATAGTTCACCCCAAAATAAAAATGTGCTTTACTCACCCTTAGGCCATCAAGATGAGTTTGTTTCTAAATCATAACAGATTTGGAGAAATTTAGCATTACATTACTTGCTCACCAATGGATCCTCTGCAGTGAATGGGTGCTGTTGGAATGAGAGTCCAAACAGCTGATAAAAACACAATAATCCGAAAAGCTTTGTGTTTGTAAGAAACAGATGATTATTACGGTGCTTTTAACTTCAAACCATTGCTTCCGTTGCTAAAAGACAGGTCCTCTATCCATAATAATGCTTCTACCAGTGATAAAGTCTATCTCTTGTTGTCCTCTCGCATCAAAATTTTATTTGTTAAAAAACTTTAGAACTGTTTGTAAACGCAGTGCTTGGTCTGTGCATATTTCTCTCCTGATTCAGGCAAGACTACTTTTTCACTGGAGAAAGCAATATTATGGATAGAGGACTCATATTTTAGCCAGAAGCAACGGTTAAAAAGTTAAAAACTTCTTGATGATGGATTTATTTCCAACAAATCCACAGCTTGTGGATTATTGCAATGTTTTTTATCAGCTGTTTTGGACTCTCATTCTGACGGCACCCATTCACTGCAGAGAATCCATTGGTGTGCAAGTGATCAGGGGTGTCATGCACTCATTATTTTTGAGGGGGCATGGGTGTGGTGTGGGGTGGGGGGGTTCGTCATGTGACACACAGGCTAAGTCTATTGTGGCTGCTATGTTTTATTTATTTTTTTCCTTTTTAATCAAAACATTCCCAAATGCATTAACTATATCATGAAATATCTCGATTCTCAACCTTTATAGATTATGTTAGTTGATCTATAGTGGGCAATGGTCAAAGTAGCCTAATAATGTAATCTATTAACTATGCATAAAAACCTGTGTTTACTTAAGTAACAGATATGGGTGTCATGCCATAACATATTTTTAATATGACTGACTTTATTTTTAATGTGAATTTAACACTGAAAGTTAATGTGAATAAAAACATTGTAAGTTAGGCTATAATCATAACACTTTCATTGGACAGAAAGAGAGCAAAGAACATTTACATTATCAAAGAACATTTTTATTGACAGTCTAGAGTTCAAGCACTCTCAAAAACTCCCATTAAATTCACTGAAGCTGTTTACACTGTGAAATAAATATCTTACTTACAGATTCATACACGCATTTGCAGTTTGTTTTTTTTCTGACGAGAGAATTCGCCAGAAAGAGGTATTCAGTCAGCAAGCGAGTGAAGAAAACACCGGCATTTTAGCGATGACTCATCTGAACATCTCTGATGGGTCATTGCATTCATAAGCTCAACAGCATCGTGTGTGATTGGTTAATGCGCAGTGCTGTAAAAACGCGTCTGTCTCAGCGCCAGCCAGCGAACGCAGATTTGAATTTAGCAGCTGATGATATGACGCGCTGAACGATTTAATCATGCTGGTGTGATTGTATCAAATATAGAAACTATTAATCGGCTATTTTTTGTATTTTGGAAGCTGCATTCAAAATCCACTTGGCTCAAAAATCTGAGGGGGCACGTGCCCCCTTTGAATGGGCATGACACCTCTGATTGTAATGCAAAATTTCTCCAAATCTGTTCCCATGAAGAAACAAACTAATCTGCATCTTGGATGGCATGAGGGGGAGTAAATTTAACCAGCATAATTTAAAATGTCTAATTTTTACATTTTAATTTTGAAATAATTTTGTGTTCACAACAAATGAATGTTTTTAACATTGTCACACTCACAAATGAAATGGTAATATATATTTTAAGTGCTTCTTAAATCAGACTTTTTACATTTCTGGCACAGTTCCTTCTGCTTTTGTCTGATTTTAATGAGCCGAGAAAGTGAAGGTGCCATTCCAGATTCAGATGCTTTATCTGTTCCCTTTCGATACTTCACTCGTACTGTGTCTGCTTAAGATGCATATGGGAAAAAAGCAATTTTTCTCCTGAACTGAAGCCTTTTCATTCACGCAGTGAAACCGCCAGAATGGGCGGGGCATCTGGCTATATAAGCGGGCGCTCTCCACAGGATTCTCAGATTTCTTCTCCAGACTCTACGCTCATCGCTGATCCTGAAAGCCTGCTCGCCGTTGACACGCCTTCGCAGCTGGAATCGGGACCTCTCAGCACAGCTGACCTGCTTCGCCGCCGCTACAGCGACGCAGCAGTTCCGGTCCGTTTCCCCTGCCGCCATCCGGCGATTCTACAAGAGCTCATTTCTAGCAGGTAAGCCCTAAAAGAGCAAATTCTAGCGACGTTGTTGCAAATGTCGCTCTGCGAGTGTGGCTCGTGCAGGGAAACTTGCACGATGCAGAAGAGCAATGAGTATGTCATCTGTCTGGGCAGACCCCACACAGAGACTGCATTCTCACTGAGACGGAATGCTCACTCGATCATGAGTCTCGCTCTTCTCCACTCGTGGACCGCCTTCACTCAGCGAGCCTCGGAGAGGGAAACAGCGGAGTCAGAGAATAAGCAATCGGTCTGACTGAGCTCATGCTGGCACTCTGCCTGCGTGCTCTCTCTCCATTGCACTCGGATCCGCCGCAGAAGGGCAGTGAGCTACGCGCTTACTGAGACCGAATGCTCACTTGAGCATGAGTCTCGCTTTTCTCCACTCGCGGACCGCCTTTCACTGAACAGCCCCACTCTCACGTTTCTCCTCTCTCAGCAAGCCTTGGAGAAAGAAATGACGAAGCCTGGGAACTAAGCAACCAGGTCTGAGCGATCTCACGACGACACAGAGCCTGCGTACTCGCTCTCCCCGCTGCACTTCGATCCGTGTCTCACACAAAAGGATCAGTGCCCCTCTTTACATCGAGCGGCTCTATCCTACAAAGTAGATCGGAGCAAATGCTGCCGCTGACAGCTTCAAATTTGTGTGTGTGTCACTATGGCTGCGATCACAGACACGGGCCGCTTTTACCACAAAAGCAGTCTGGTGGCTTATCAATATACAGTCCTTCCCTTCGGGCTGTCCCTGGCCCCCTGCACCTTTACGAAGTGCATGAGGTAATTGATCTGTCTCTTTCCCCTCTGAGACAGATGGGAGTCCTTATTATCAATTACCTCGACGACTGGCTTGTCCTGGCCCAGTTGGAGGCAGAATTAATATCTCACAGAGCCCTCCTCCTCAGCCACCTGGAGTGCCTGGGACTCAGGGTCAATCTTGCCAAGAGTTCATTGCTTTCCAGCCAGCGAATTTCGTTCCTGGGACAATCTTCGACTCATGAAATGAGTCCAAATGAAACCTGTAGTCACGCCAGAACGAGCTCTGGCCATACGGAGGCTGGCGACCTCCTTCAAGATCGGTACCGCTCGCCCTCTCAAAGCGTTTCAAAGGATGCTGGGCATGCGTCTTAAGCAGACGCAGTACTCGTTCCCGTATCTCAGGGAACCGAGGTTACGTTAGTAACCGAGTACGTTGCTTTCTGTCACTGTGGGAAGGGGGTCTATCTGTCTGTCAGTCAGTCTCACTGTCCGGTCTGAATAGTCTGCTTTTTTTTTTTTTCTTCTTACCACTGGATCATTAATCGTTGCTTCAGCTTCATCAAAGGGAATAATTATGAGCACCCTTTAATTTCATTAATGGACACGTATATGAAACAGTATATTTTTACCCACTTAAAAATCCACTTTCACAAATTACAAATCACAATGCTAAATCACTAACAAGTTCACTAATACGTGACTTGGAATTTCTGATATGTTTTGGGTACTGGACAGACTGGGGCAGTGACCACCCTTCCCTACCGTACAAGAGCCATAAGACCATCAATTTGACCAGTGCCAATTCAACACTTATAGGGCGGCCCGAGCACTATGTCTCAATCAGCACAACCTCTCCAGTGGAGACCGTGGGGAAGACACAGGTCAACGGACAGCCTGCTAATGTGAGTCAGGTCAGGAACATAGTGAATGTGGTGGACTGTCGGAAATCCATCTATAAATTTAACTTCTGTTGTTGTTGTTTGAATGTGTTAATTTTCAGTACTTGACCACGTTGGTAATTCATATGCTTGCTTGTGCAGCCAATAATAAAAGGGTACACTGTCGTTCAATAGAATCAATAATATTTTGTTTGAAAGAAATTAATACTTCTATTCAGGATGCAATAAATTAATTAAATTACAGTAAAGACATTTTATAATGTTACAAAAGATTTCTATTTCAAATAAATAAAAACATTTTACTCAGCAGTGATGCATTAAACTGATCAAAAGTGACAGTAACAACATTTATAATGTTACAAAAAATTTCTATTTCAAATAAATGCTGGTTTTTTTTTTTTTTTACTTTCTATTTATCAGAGAATCCTGAAAAAAAATGTATTACTGTTCTCATGAATATTTTCATCATTGATAAGAAATGTTTATTGTGCATCAAATTAGCATATTGAAATTGTTTTACTATTTCAGGGAGTGCTATCAAAAAGGGTGAATGGATGTATCCAGGACAATCCAGTTGCTCTAAGAAACAAAGGTGGGTGCTTTAAGACCCTTTTAGCAATCAAACCATGGTCCTTGTTCGGGGTGAACTGAAGAATTTTCATGTTCATTTAAAAAGAAAAATAAGTTGCCAAAACATTTGAAAATGACTTCTCTCTTTCCAGTGTTCTCTGTTGTAGACTATGAGAACATAGTTTTGAAAAATAATAGAAGAAAGTTAGAATTTTTCATGCAACAAGGTAACGGCATTCACTCAGTCTGTAGCAATTGAATGGTGCGTGGGTAATTGATCACTGCAGCTTATTCATTTAATTATTCTGTGACTTATTTGTATTAAGCACACTCTTAATGGAGTGTATTGGTGAGGTCTGTTCTGTTGAATATTAATATCTGAATTCAATCAAAAACAGATGGGTTTGTTTGCTTATTCTGCATTCTAAGGGCCTGACTAACTAAAGCATTTAGTACATATGATAAATCTGTCTCCCATTCAAGTTAAGATGATTTGACCTGCTCTTTTCTCACTACTGTATGTACCAAAAGCTTTTTTTAAGTCCAGCTCTAGGTCTGAGCAGATCTGAAATTGCTCAGTGGGTTTCTGTTGCTTTCCGTTTTATTGCTCTTATAGTTGATGCTCTGTCCTTCAGGTGCCACGGTTAGCTCCTGGGTCTATCTCTGTGGTAAATAAAGATGCATGCGGTCTGCTGTGATACACTGTAATGTGTCTATATGTGAGGACTGCTGTTTGTCAATCTTTCTCTTTTTGTCTTTCATCGGTGTAATTCCTGTCTTGTATCTTTGCAGAAATGTTTACAATGAGAATTTTGAGTTAGCTAGTCTCTTATAATGTAGTCTTTCTGACCAGAAGTGCTGATCCGCGATTTGATTCCTCTGCAATTCAAGTGCTTTTAATTCTATAGCATGCTCTACTCCTCAGAGGTGTTTTTTTTACACTCTCATCATGTTTGTCTGTGTCTTGTGTGTGTTGTTTAAAGCCTGCATACCAGCATATGAGTGTGAATTTGACCGTGGTGGCTTTGGTTACAGTTTTGTCATATGAGCAGAGGGTGTGTGTCAGAATCATGGCATGGAAGACTCATGCGGTGTGTGTGCTCTGTTGTGCAATTTAAATGGATAATCTTTGTCCCGCCTTTTTTACTAGGTGGCTCAGAGTCTGCCATCTCTGATGTGAGTCACATCTTTCACTTACATTTAGTGTTTATCAGTATTAAATTCAGTGCTGATAGTTTACTTTTTGGTTCCGTTATCGTTATGATTTATTTATGGTATCAGCTGCAGGTTCCCTCCATCAGTACCAGCTCGTCCTGCTGGTCATGGGATCATGAAGAGGAGAGGAGGCGGCAAGAGAAATGGCAGATGGAACAAGAGCGCCTCCTGCAGGTACCACCAAATCTCACAAATATTCTATACCATATCCCAGATCTTGTACGCAAGCAAGAACTTTCAGTTTAGATTTGATTTTTATGGTGGGATTGTTTCATTTTATATATTTTATTTTCAGTTTAGTTAATATAGTAATTTGTTTATTATAGGTAATGTTGCGTCAATCTATAGGAATACTGCAGTAACACCCGTTTCACACATATTCCGTTTGCAGTGCGTATGCAGTCCATGTGCGGTTCGTATGCGGTGCAGAAGCGGCACGGGCTCATTGTGTTTCACACAGGACGCGTTTGCAGTCTGCTACTGATTTTTGCCACAAACACAACATTTATCCATTATTTTGATTTCAAATCCAAAAGTTGTTACTGAAAATGCTTTTTCAGCATTGCAATTCTCTTTTTACACCGTACAATAATACAATCATAGACAGCTATTCACGTTTAAACACAATAAATACTATAAACAATGCATTATACAATGCATTTTACTTCTAGATCTAATATTAATTTGCTTAAGCTGGCGGCAAAACATTTAAACATAGCCTATAGTCTACTTTTCTTACGTTAAAAGGTAGCATCACAAACCTTTTAAAATAAAAACTTACAGAAACGTCTGACTCTCGTGCCGTTTCTTTTGCATTTAAATCTTTATTACACGCAATCCTGTGGGTCATAAAGAACTTTGTTTTTCTACCTCCACGTCACGAGTGCCATCCCCTTGTTTAACTAAAAGTGTTCTTTCTCTTGTTTTAAACCTAGCCAAAGGGCTATGTGTTGACTGTGAAACACCTTGGATTTTAGTTATATCCATTTATTGTGTAATTACTATATATTTTTTGTCAATCCACGTTCATTTTTACCACAAAAAATGAGCTGTCACTTCAGCAAAAATAGACTACGTGCATAAACGATCGCTGCTGAAAATGCACCGCTGCTGGAACGCACTGCCAGGTGTACCGACGAAACATGCTACCGATCAGATTGTGCTACCAAAAATATATTTACATTGTGTTAAGGGTAAGTTTAGGGTAGGGGTAGGTATGGACATTAAAAAAAGCCACAAACCACATCAATAAGATGCTGGTAGCACAATCTGATAGGCAGCATTTTTCGCTATCGATTTGTGCTACCTATCTTTTTAATGGGAGGTAGCACAAATCGTCAGAACACCGGCATTGTGTCCAATTCTGACCCCCGCCAGATTATTACCCCCCTAGTATTGGGAAAGGAAAAGAAAGCACAACTACGGTGACCCATACTCTGAACACACACACACCCGGAGAAGTGGCCAGCCATTTTTGCTGTGGCGCAGATGCATGTAAATGATTGTAATTTAAAATGGAAAAAAATAAAAATAAAAAAATAAAATACTATTTAATAAAAAAATAAAATACATATTTGCACACTTTAGACATTCTATCAACCAACTGCATGAGGTGTCCAACATGTTGCTCAGCTTTTCAATGTGTTGCTGATAATGTAATTTGTAATAAATTAATAAATAAAAAAATTAAATGTTTACTAGTGGACTTTTGTCTGAAATGGTTTCAGGAGAAGTATCGGCGTGATCAGGAGAAGTTAGAGGAGGAGTGGAGGAGAGCTCAGCAGGAGGTCTATGGAGAGGAGCACAGTGGTACTGAGGTCAGAAGATTGTCATAACTTTAATATCTCTTGCTTCATCTTTCTCCAATTTCTCTCATTCACACCCAAACAGCATGTAAATGGTGATGTTTAATACAGTGGTTCCATTGCCTTTAGACTCTACAGCATTATGAATGGTGAATAAGAATAATAACACCGTTATTATTTACCTCCTGCTGGTATTAGGAGCAGAAATGTCCTGATGTGCTGTCCAATGGAAATACCACTAATATTCCACCTTCCCCCTTCAACCAATTCATTGCTACCACTTCAGTGGCATCCAATCAGAATGCAGAGAAGGTGGTAGAAACACAGAACAGACAGACCGATGTGCAAACAGCAGCAAGACAGCAGTCACTAAAGGCAGACGTGGAGTGTGATTCATCCACTAAGAGTCAGTGGTAAGAAGTATGCCAAACACGAGTTGGAAAAAAGTTGTAGTTTTATGATGTCAATGCCAAGAAAATATTAGGATGTAGCATTTCCGTAAATCTTAGGGCTGTCATTTAATTAGAAATTGTAACTGCCTTTCATTTCAAAAGACAAACACACAAATTAATTCAGTAAGTTAATTCAGTGGAGACATTACATAATTGTAGCAGACAAAAGACGCAATACATAATATTCTACAAATATCATTGTTTTATTTCCATTTAATTGAACATCACCAGCGCCTATTCAATCCACAAGAATCTAGTTTGGCAACCTGTCTGAGGAAGATTTAGGGGTTGTACATAAGGGTTGCAAAGAGGTGGAACATTTCTGGTAAATTTCCTGAAACACTTCCATAATTTTTGGAAACTTTCCAGGATTTTTTGGAAATGTTCCACCCCTTTGCAACCCTACTGTTCATATGGACACTTTCTTTGTAATTGTTGGTCTGTGTATACATGCAGACAAATGTTTTTAGCTGTTTTCCAGCATCTCATACCATGAGCACCATATTCACATTTTAAGATGGCAAAATTAACAGTATTAGGATTAGTTTATTATTGTTATTTCTTTTCTTATTTAAGCTTATATGGCATTTGTTGTTTATGTGGTCCAAACATGTGTACATCTTACTGCTGCTTTGGTCATTGTTTGTATGTCTATCTGTCTGCTTCTGCTCTGTCTTGCATCAGCTCAGAGGAGTCCTACGGGTTTGCCAAGCTTACAGTTTCTGACAGGTTAGTTTGCTTTTGGAGCTGCATTTTCTTTTAATGGCTTTTGTGGCATAAGGAAGATGTGGTGATATACATATGGCAGCACTTTTTTCTGTATTTTTTAATATATTAGTTTTTAAATACGGTCTCATTTTAATGTGAAGAGAAAATGTAACTGTTCTGGTTCAGATTGCATTTCCATTTAGTCATATTTCATGTTAACCTCATCACTCTCATCACATTCAGTTCTGTCCCCATTGCCAGAAGAATGCAGGAATTTATTGTTGGTGATGCACTTTACAGCTTGACAGTGGTGCTGTTTTATACAACCTCAATTCCAGAAAAGTTGGGACGTTTTGTAAAATGCAATAAAATCAAGAATCTGTGATTTGTTAATGCTCTTTAACTTTTATTTAACTGACAAAAGTACAAAGAAAAGATTGCCAGAGTTTTCATTGACCAACTTAAATGTATTTTGTAAATATAAACAAGTTTTGATTTTGATGGCTGCAACACACCCCAAAAAAGTTGGGACAGAGGCAAAATAAAAGTGAAAAGGTTATAGAATATCTAAGTTAAACCGTTTTGAAGCAGTCCACAATAAGCAGGTGAATTGGTAATAGGTGAGGGTATCATGTTTGGGTATAAAAGGAGCATCTCAGTCTTGGCAAGCAAAGCTGGATCATGGCTCATCACTTTGTGCCAAATTTTGTGAGAAGTGTCAAGCAAATCAAAAATCACATTTCTCATTGCAAAATTGCAAAGAATTTAGGTCTTTCACCAACTGTAGGGCAAGGCAGGAAACCTCCGTTGAATGTGCATGACCTTTGAGCCCTCACATGGCAACGCATGAGAAACCGTCATGCTGCGTGCGGTGTTAAATATAGCCACATGGGCTCAGGAGTACTTTGATAAACTGCTGTCACTTAAGACAGTCTGCCGCTGCATCAATACATGCAACTTGAATCTCTGTTACTCTAGGAGAAAGCTAAACGGAATGAGGCCAGTGATGCCGCAGGGTTCTCTGGGCCAGAGCTTATCTCAGATAGTCAAAAAGACTGTGGAAATGTGTGCTGTGGTCAGATGAGTCCGCATTTCAACTTGTTTCTGGGAAAAATGGACGTTGAGTTCTCAGTCCCAAAAACCAAAGGGACCATCCAGACTTTCATCAGCGACTGATGCAAAAGCAAACATCTGTCATGGTATAGGGGTTGCAGTAGAGCAAACGGCATGGGTGACTGGAATACAGTATGTGCGAAGGTACCATTGACATGGAGGCATATATTGAAATTGTACAGAGACATATACTGCCATCAAGGTGGCATCTTTGATGGGAAGTCCATTGTTATTAGATCAAGACAATGCCAGGTCTCATTCTGCATGTGCTACAACAGCATGGTTTTGTAAACAGTGTGAATGTGCTAGATCAGTCCAGATCTGTCTCCTATTAAAAATGTATGACCAGTCGTGAAAATCATGGAATCACACAACAATCAGAGACTTCTGAGCACCTGAAGTCTTGTATCAAGTGAGATTGGACAAAAATGTTGCTTGCAAAACTTTAACGATTAGTATCCTCAATTCCCAAACAATTAAACGTAATTAAAAGGAAAGTTGTTGGGACACAGTGTTAAACATGCCTCTGTCCCAACTTTTTTGGAGTGTGTTGTAGCCATCAAAATGTGTTTATATTTACAAAATAAAATTAAGTTGGCCAGTGACAACATTGGAATTTTTTTTCTTTGAACATTAGTCGATTAAATAAAGGTTAAAGAGAATGAACAAATAACATATTCTTGATTTTATGGCATTTCACAAAACGTCCCAACTCTTCTGGAATTGAGGTTGTACATATGTGTGTGTGTGTGTGTTCAATTAATGTATACATGTATTCATTTTTGCATAGGACAAAGTCAAAATCTACTCCTGCACTTCAAGGCCTTCACAAACAAGATGCTAAAGGTCTGAATAGTTTATATTTAGGGTATTTTTATCCAAATTCCTGAATAGTTAGGAACAGGAACAGTACTCGTCTTCTCTGCCTTGTCTCTTCATTGGCCGCAGGAAGCGGTAAAAAGAAGGGACAGCTGTCGCAGGCAGAGAAGGAACGTCTGCAGATCCTGGAGGAGATGAGGAAGAAGACGCAGCTCCTCACTGACAACAGTTGGATCCGTCAGTGCAATGCCAGCATCAACAAAGAGCCCATCACTGTGGGAACATCTGTCAGGAGGTCCTGATGAAAAACTCTTTCATTATATTGTTTAGAACAGGTTTACTTTGTCAGCTCTACACTACCATTCACTAGTGTGACACTTGGAATAATGGCTGCTGAAAATTAAGCTTTCACAGAAATAAATTATATTTTTAAATATATTCAAATAGAAAACAATTATTTTAAATGTATAATAATGTTTCACTATATTGCTGTTTTTGCTGTATTTTTGATCAAATAAATGCAGCTTTGGTAAGCATAAGAAGCTTCTTTAAAGGGGTCATATGATGTTGCTAAAAAGAACATTATTTGTTGTATTGGTGTGATGAAATGTTTATGCGGTTTAAGGTTCAAAAAACACATTTTCCACACTATATTGTTTCTCCTCTATGCCCCGCCTTTCTGAAACGCGTCGATTTTTACAAAGCTCATCGGTCTGAAAAGTGAG